ATGCGCAACGTACAACCCCATACTCTTGTTGCGCATAATGCGTTGCTTCAACACGACCCTTGTCCCATCAGTCTGCATTGTGAATGGGACCCATAAAGCTAGCAAAACATACTGTCTCATGTCGCTGTTAGGGTCGTACTCTTCCTCTGAAATGAAATTATTGGATGTGGCCCTTTCACCAACTTTGACAGAAACAGAGGCCGCTCGTCATTGTAGTTTTTTACCTGAAAGCCCACTTTTGTGACTCATTTCGCGGATATGAACAATACTGTATCTGTGAAGGCAGTTCGTTAGGTTTCAATGACTGAGAAGGTTTGTGAACCATGTCGAGAACCTCTCCCCCAAGGCCTTCACATCCCTCTCCCTCAAGGAGGGCCTTTCAAGCCGCGAAGCCCATTTTCAAAACATGTATACGGTTTGCTGCATGTTGTAGAGGTCCATGCGTTGATCGCAGAAGCGTAGTTCATTTTCGCTGCGCATTTTTATAAGGCCTCATAGGATGAGCAATAGGTTGAGGATGTTCGATGAATTTCTTGTGTGAACAAAAAGGTTTCCAAAAACACCAGAACTTGTCGTACAAAAAAAAACCAGGTAAGCTTCCCATCAATGAGTTCGTGAACTCTTCGCAGTGAACTCGTGGAACATTCCCTGCTCCATCCTGGTATCCCAGAAGAACGCAGCGAAAATCTACACTTTTTTGTCCCCGCCTGGATCCCCACAACATGCAACAGACCGTTTCGAGAGTGGGCTCCGCGACCTGGACGAATTGCCTTATCAGTCTCCGACTCCAGAGCAAGGTCAAGCGTCACGTCCGTCGGAAAGATTGGGGTGTTCGTACGACCCCGCAACGTGGAGTGTGTGGAGGTACCTACTGTGCCCATCAGGATGTAGCTGTATATATTGTTATGCTAATACTACCTAATGAGTATCTGAATATTCTAGGAGTATTCATCAGACTAATCCAACGAATAAAAACACTGGAAACCGAAGGGAGTAGTTTACCTAAGAAGTATGTATTAGGTTGTTCGGAAAGAAATGCGCGTTGAAGCGCGTTGAATTTGTCCATTTATTTCTCTCCTACTATAGAAGATTTTCCGAAACAGTTTTGTCTATTAGAAAGAGATTTTTAGCATCTGTTGATATATTTTTGTCTATGTCTCTTCGTTTTTTTTTGGGAAAAAAAGTTGGGAAGAGTGGGTGCCGCACCAGCTGAGCGACGCAAACAAGGCAACACGAGTGGCAATGGCCGGAATTCTTCTTCGTCGCTCCAAGAACAGCGGTTTCTTCGACTCTATTGTTTACATCAGATGAGACATGGATCTGCTACGAACGCGAAAAAGACACGCGGTTAGGACACCGTGACACTCCAAAAACAATTCCGAACCGGATATTACACGGCAAAAAGGTGATTGCCTCACTGCACCCCGGACTGTTGGGAATAGCAAAGGCTTTGATGTTCATTTTGAAGTTCCGGAATCGGCGTCAGACGCGTTACGCGTTACATCTACAAAAGATCAATTGAACCGCGTGGATCAAGCACTGCGTCGTCAAGGTGTCGAAACGACGTCGACAAAACTCCTCCACGACAACGCTCGTCCACATGTCGCGAAAATCACTTTGGAAAAAAATTGAGGAATTGGGCTGGGAAGTCCTGCCTCATCCGCCATACAGCCCAGACCTGGCACCATCCGATTACCATCTGTTCCGGTCGATGCAGCACTCCCTGGCCGAGAGAAAGTTCACAAACCGCGAAGAAGTCCAACTCTGGGTGTCCAACTTCTTTGAGTCGCAGCCGGTCGAGTTCTCAAAGAAAGAATTCCTTTCTTTTGCATAAACATTGGCAACAAGTCACGATAGAATGGGAGATTTATCTTTTGGATGCGTCTTGTTTTAATTTTTTTATAATAAAAAAAGTTTTCTAGACTTAAACGCGCATTTCCTTCCGAACAACCTAATGCATGAAGTGAACTTCGAAAATAATCTGTAATGACGTCGTCCAAACGAAACAAACACAAAGCCAGATTTAAAGGCAGTTGGCACGATAAATCGCTATACAGGTGTAGGATTTGTACAACTGGCTTAACAGAATTCCGTGACCTCGGACAGGCGCTGCGTGAAGCCTTTTCCAAGGAGGGTACCTCTATAACGCCCTATTGAGCAACAACTTTACGTCCCAAACGCCTTCCTTGCCCGCCCGCCACAAACGGACGACCGTTTCTGACGCTCGTATTCATTCATTTGCTGAGCAAATTATAAAGCAAAGGGATTGGTATGAAGCGGCGGTGATGCTGCATGCATATACGGGTACACATATGCAGCCGTACTTCGGTAGCGGTGATTGGCAAGATGCGTACGGGAAACTCGTCCGAAATCGATTTACAAGTCACTGAAACGGAGGCTTTTTCTTCGCCGGATTTTGACCGTTTCACTCCGTTCTTTCGCCATTTCCCCACTATACAGCGCCCTACTAGCATTTTAGGCTAAGTAGGAAACCATCGTGCCAACTGCCTTTAAGCTATCTGCAGGAGTGCGCATATAGACAACAGAGCGCTATCGGCCTACTGCATTTATACACTAGTATACTTTCAGCTAGAAAACATCTTTCGCAGAGCGGTAATTACGATTCATGTTGTGGGCAGGCTCCATGAAAATACACTACAGCTCTTATCAAGCATACACGGCAGCCCTTTCAATTGGAAATGACTTCGTTAAAACATAAGGCAGAAGGGAAGTTGCCCCACAGTATGCAATCTAGGCGTTTTCTCTTTCGAAGGAGCTCCAACAGTGTGTAATGGCCGCACTCGAAAATCCTAGAAATGGGGTAGGCGTGACTGCGTTTTCCAACTAAACGTGGCGGTTTTTGTGCTTTGGGAGAAATATTTCCATTTTGGAACAATTGTGATCGTGTCTCTATCCAATGCGGAACAAGATGACAGTTGTCTCAAAATGAAATATCCCTTGAGTGACCTGTTCTGTGCCATGCTCAGATGCCACGCCTACTCCATCTCGGGTATACGTGGTATATTTTCTAGCTCACCTACAGCAAGAATTCCCCGTCACGGAAAATCACAAAAAATAACGCGGAGAGCGAACGCGAGTCATTATTTCAAAGGCCATAGCTTTGTTGGGACATAGCTTAGGACATGTAGTACTACAGGGCATCGATAAGTAGAGAGTTTCCTCTTTGCGCTAACACCTTTGCTGTAGCTTGACTATAGCAAAAATTCGCCCATCGTGGATTTCCAGCTGAAAGACAGCTTTACTCGACACCACGCCCCCCCCCCCTATGCAAAGCCCACATTTCCATTGGACCCTCGGTAGGCCTCCCGTACTCCTGCTCCTCATGTAGTGAACAGGAACTGCACAGAGAAGCGCTGTACAACACCTACATGGAATCCTCCTTGCAATCGACTTCCTTTCCGGACGCAGCACTCCTGCAAGCTACATCCCTGCTGTATTAGGACCCCTTCCTCTGCAAATGCGACCCCTTCCCCTCAGAAGGGAGGCCGAATACGACTTCTTCGCCGACGATTCCGCGATGTATGCTTGATCCTGGTCCAGAGCCAGAATGCCCGTTGAATCTGTTCGAATAGCATAGTGGCGGTGTGTTCACTTCTCGACTTGCGCTTTTACTACCACAATACCTTCCATCCGTGTTATCTACACTTCGTAGGGCCAATCCTATTCAGCTCCCTAACGGGACAATTACGATTCAAAGTGGAGAAGTTACTCTATACCACTGCTCACGAGTATTTTTCAGGCAAGCCGCGACAACTACCTGGAATGGTTCGAATGCCTGCACCTTCTGAGAACTAACTGGTCAACTGTTAACGGTTCTTTAAAGGAAACTGTTCACTCACCTCCAGGGACCATCCTTGCTATGTGCGAGACTGGCTGACATCTACAAAAACAACTTTTGTCACGCGAGAGCTCGCCTAAAATGAGGGGCTTGCGAGCATAGATTCCGACTCCGCCTCAGGTTACGCCATCGTGAGTGATGTCATACAAGGGTGGGGGGGGGGGTGGTATTTGGACCTGCGAGGAGGGAGGGGGTTGCATTTGGTCAGAGAAAAATTTTTTTGATAAGTGTTTTCTCTTGTTTCATGGACGCTGCAAGGGGAGGGGGTCGTACTTGGTCATTTGGGGGGGGGCGTCGTATTTGGTTCAAGTTCACGGACGCACTTACTATTTCGACACTTGAATGGTAGTTTAATGCTGACGACCTCCCCCGGCTCGACAGCAGAATTTTTGGGAAAAAGTAGTACTCCCCCCCCCGCTCGACGGCTCGGTTCGATGAGGAAGGGACAGAGGGCTGGGAGGGGGGTCGTACCAACTCCAAAAAGGGGGTCGTATTTTAGTATGGAATTAGGGGGATCGTAATTTTCAGAAAATGATCACAACGCGATGGCGTGACCCCTGACTCCGCCTGTCATTCGCCTGCAGCTTTTGCGCCAGTAAGGAAATGTCTCAGCAATCACTCATCGAGAGGTGGAGAACAACCAGATGTAAGAGAAGCGAGAAAAGTAGAAGAGAAGTTAGAGGACTACAGTCGGGAAGGCTACGGTAAGGCGCGCGGCTGGCCATGCGAGCGCGGGCGCATCCCGGAATCAGCACCCGGGTAATTCTACCTTCCAGCCCGTTCCCGTACAGATTTGAGCGGAGAAATTGGCACTGCACTGCAGCTGCGGACCGGCCTCGCATATGGCAAGGACCTGAATCCAGGGAAGTGAGGGTACAGTTCGTCTTTAATCCAACTTTGAACTCGCTGCCATCATATTGCATATCTGAACATAAAGTTCCGTATTTATTTGTGACAAAAACATTGATGGAATATAGCCAACAGCTCATAGCAATCAATACAAACGATAACTTCAAGTAACAACAAAGATACGACAATTGTTTGCATGAATACCTTGACATTGAATTTTTTGTTCTCCGTAAATTAATTCAAAAGCACAAATAAACATGAGATTAGACAAAACTGTGACAACAAAACAATTTTACAAGTCTAGGGGCCGTCCTTTGTTCATGTATGACTCCAACTCGGCATCCAATTCTGCTACAGATTTTACTGATTTCCTTTCTCGTCCAGGGAGCCCACGACGACGCATACCCCCTCGTCTTGGTTTGTCATCAACTATGCGATCGAGGAAAGATGTAGAAACACCGCCACTTGGCCTTCTGAACAGCAAGGCATACAGAGAAGCTCACAATGCCAGCTTTGGTAACCACGTACCTGAACGTCTTCTGTATTCCGCGCGTGGCCTGACGAGGCAGTTTACTCAGTCTGCTTTCAATGCCATTTGCAACTCCCTCTCCTCCATCAACAATCAACATCTTTATCAATTTGCCTGTAAAATAGCTACTTTATGAAAAATGTCCTCCGTGTTTTTACATTCTGAGAATCTTGGACGAACATAACAATCAATGAACAATGGGTTTGATTAAGGTTCATGTCAAGCATGATGACTTAAATATGTTTTTAAAAAGGTGAAAGAGTTTTGGTAACTACAGCAGATCGCTAAGGCTACGAGCACACTTTGCGGCAGTGCCCAGCAGAGTTCAGGTGTAGAGAGAAAGTAGGAGGGTAGCAGACAGCTGGTAAAGTATGGAGAAGTAGGGGAAGCAGATAGTTGGATTAGGCATGCTGAAATTGCGGCGTGGGCAACCTCTCCGTACAACTGCTATAGCACAGAGTTATGCAATTCAGTTATGGTAGCGCACAGTAATACGGCGCGGTTGCACGCGCCACAATTTCATGGCGCCTGTTCCAACAGTCTGCTCCCTCCTACCTCCCCATACTCTACCAACAGTCTGCGACCCTCCTACTTCCAATATTCTCCACTACTGGACGCTGCCGCTTATCAGATCGATGCATATTTTCCTGACTGATGGTGGACGCTGGCGTTAGCTAAAGCGATATCTAGACTTTCATAGTCTACGGCGCTGACGGACGCTCGAAACAATGGTGGCCGCCGGTGGACGCTGTCGCATAGTATGATCCAACCTGGCATTTTACCAACTGCAAGATAATTGTAATAAACAAGCGTCACGTACCATCAAGAGAGACACCCTTGAAATCTTCGAACATCTGTAGTGCATCCTTTCTCTTTAGATAAACGTCTCCAGTGCCAAGTGAGATCCCCTGCTCATTGAAGTGTACCGTTGCAGTGTCGATATTGTACGGACCGAAAAGTTCCTAAAATATGAGGCATAGTAAAGCATAAGCCACTTACGAATCCATAAGTGTTTCCTTCGATGCCCATCAGCGTTTACCATCACTGCGGATTAGAGAAGTCGTCACTCTGCCACAGAAATGCGTGAGGAACCGAAATTCTCCACCACTGAAGCATTGACATCCAAAAAAGACGTGATCGACGACCTAGCCCAAGTTTCGCTAGTCCACGTGGAGCGGCGGCGCGGATGGTCGTCGAAGGAACGTTGAGACACCTCAAGATCTGCAGAGACGACGTTGGGTCCAAGATTGGACAGATTGACGCGCACTTTCTTGTTGGGATTATTCGCGACCACTTTAGCAATCGCTCCTCCTCTCGCTCGGAAAGCTCGGCTCTCGTCTTGGAACTTGTCGTGCTTCCACTTTCCTGCAGGAGTTCGCTGAAACAGAACTATTTTATACTTTTCTCAAACTTGCAAGACATTATTATATCATTTAAGCTGATAAACACTGGGTCATTCTAATAGTAATCTAAGGTCATTTTTTTAGATTTCTGTCTAGCGTCGCCATGGGCATTGATTGAAGGGTATCAGATATGTTGTGAAAAGTTAGGCTGCGTTCAGACTTTGTGGCAGCGTTCACCAGCCAACACCAATCAGCGTTTCGAGCATCCGTTGGCGTTAACTACCAATAAAGTATAGATATCGACGAGAGTCTACCAGTGTGCACCAGCGCCCTGACTAGGAAAGTATCGATATCGAGGCGTCTACAAGCGCCAACCAGCGACCAGCAAACATAGGGAAGTGGCGGGTAGCAGACTGCTGGCAGACTATGGGGAAGTAGGGAGTTGTGGCGTGTGCAAGCGCACCGTACCACTACACTATCGTACTCCTGGTCGCTGATATACCCTAGATAGGTATTACTTTCCGATTCCCTCGAGACGCGGTGGGCGCTGCTGTTCGCTAAGTATTTAAACTTGCCTAGTCGCTGACGGACGCTCGAAACGCTGATTTTCGCTCGTAAACGCTGCCGCAAAGTATGAATGCAGCCTAAGGCCTTGTTATACGTGACAGAGGGGTTACGCGGTGGGCTCTACGCATGTATGGGCCGAGCGTATGAATACTTGATGCGCGTGCTCTTTTGCGTTTATTCGAAAGTGGACTCCGTGCACTGTAAACATTTATGCATAACTCTTGCGCTTGATAATGCCATGACGTAATACTTTTGAAGGGACTGAGCAACTAAGGACGGAGTCGTTGTGGACGGGACCACGAGAATATTTTGGCTGTTAACTTCCTTTTCGTGGTGTGCTCAATTCGCGCACATTTGTGTGGTTTTGGGTCCAGCCATCTCGCTTGGGGTGTCAAGCCATTTTTCTGGGCAAGCTTATTCACTTGACTGTTGTCTTATTGTAAAATTAGCTCCTTTAAGCAATCAACACTCCAAAGAAGAAATCAACAGCAAAACTTGCCTCGCACAATAGCTCCGTTTCAAAAATATTACGTCACGGCGATATGACGCACAAGAGTTATGTAAAAATGTCACATGCGTAGAGAACAATGTCGAAAAATGCAAAAGAGCACATGTGTCAAGGATTCGAACTGACCGTACGTGAGGCTTGTCACGTAAGGCCGCGTTCATAGCTTGCGTTCGTGAAGAAATGCAGAAATGCGGAAAATGCAGAAGTGCGGAAAGTGCAGAAGTGCGGAATCTGCAGAAAAGCAATAGATACTTATCGACTTGAAGAAATGCAGAAATGCCGAAACTGCAGAAGTGCGGAAAGTGCAGAAATGACGAAAAGCATTACATACGTATCGATTTGAAGAAATGCCGAAAGTGAAGAAATGCGGAATCTGCAGAAATGCCGAAAGTGAAGAAGTGCGGAATGTGCAGAAATGCCGAAAGTGCGGAATGTGCAGAAAAGCAACCGATACGTATCGATTTTCCACACTTTCGGCATTTCTGCAGATTCCGCACTTCTTCACTTTCGGCATTTCTGCATTTCTTCAAGTCGATAAGTATCTATTGCTTTTCTGCAGATTCCGCACTTCGGCATTTCTGCAGATTCCGCACTTCTTCACTTTCGGCATTTCTGCAGATTCCGCATTTCTTCACTTTCGGCATTTCTTCAAATCGATACGTATGTAATGCTTTTCGTCATTTCTGCACTTTCCGCACTTCTGCAGTTTCGGCATTTCTTCAAGTCGATAAGTATCTATTGCTTTTCTGCAGATTCCGCACTTCTGCACTTCCACTTCTGCATTTTCCGCATTTCTGCATTTCTTCACGAACGCAAGCTATGAACGCGGCCTAACCAATCGGCCGCACTACCACGGAAGAGAATTACGAGTTCTCAGTATGCGAATACTACCCGTGAAAGCTTTGTTGAATACTACCCGTGAAAGCTTTGTTTGTCCTGGGAGGACCCCCAGCAGATTTGGAACGGTTCTGTGATTCTCGTCCAAAATCCCTCAGTAGGTATGCACTCCATTCCGAATGGCCACTTCGACCTACGACATCTCCCTTATTAGCTCTGTTGCTGTTGCGGGAGAACAAAGTTCCACTCAAATTAGCATCTTTGTCCGCTATTACAGCGTCCACGAGGTTCTTTTGCAAGCGCTTATGTATTCCAGATGCTATCGAACGAACGAAAGTGCACCATTCAGAAAACAGCCACCTCTTAAACGGCTGTGCCCTTCTCTAAGGGCGCAGAACATCAGTGAACTCCAAATGTCATTTCACATGCAGTGGGATGTTCCTTACAGTCCGGGTCCCCGTGGATGATGGTGTGCCTCAGCGCGGCTGCACTTGGCACGGTACCAACTCCACCACCCCCCGCCCACCCAAATACGTTAGCACTCTGTACTGAGATGCAAGGGTATAATGCTGGGGTATAATGCTTTTCCACCGTGATGGCGCTTACCCGCCTCAAGAACTGGTGGAAAAGGGGCTTAGCGGCGTGCCAAGCCCCTTTTACACCAGTTCTTGAGGCGGGTAAGTACCATCATGGTGGAAAAGCATTATACCCTTGCAGGAAAAGCATTATACCCCAGCATTATACCCTTGCATTTCAGTACAGAGTGCTAACGTATTTGGGTGGGGGGGGGGTGGACCACCCGGCTCGCGTCGAGCGATGACTCACCGCTTCCTTGGCGAGATAGTGTTCGAAACAGTCCATAAATAGTTCGGGCATATTTAACGCGGGAAGCAGATGGTTTTCGTGTAGGAAGTGAAGTGATTGGTGAGGTGAGCGTCTTGTGATTTTACTCTGAAGAAAACGCTCAAGATTCAATTCCTACGATTCATAGGGAGCTATTAGTGTTGGGGTAGGAGTAGCTATTAGAGATTTTTTCATTATTTCTGCGGAGCATCCAGTGCAATAGTGCCAAATTTACACAAACGGGTTCACTCAGGCCGGAATTCCTTCTTTTGCTTGGGCAAAAATTTTAAGGCATACAGCTGTTTCATCGCACTTTTTGGCGTTATCTGTTTGCAACGTTTTGAAAGTTTTGGTAACTTACGTCTGAGAATCTCCCAAAGTTTCGCGCTCCACTTTTTAGCGTAGCTGGACTGCTTACACCGTCACTTCGAAAACCGCCAATAAGCCTTCCCGATTTGGATTTCTGTAACGATAACAATGCTGAACATTGTCAGGGATTCAGCCATTGAGCGGCATAGTCGCAAAATTCACCTTGTTCTTGCCGATTATTTCTTCAAGAGACATATTGATCGACGACATAGCGAATCTAGAATGAAACTTTGCATTGCTTGAAAGGAATAAATGCGGACCAACGAAAGTTATAATGGAAAACGAAGACACGAATAACGAAACAAGCAAACTGAGCATAAAGAAATGGAAAGTGAAAAGCGATTAACGTAGTGTTCTTGCCGCACGCAGTCTAATCAATGCCCAATGTCCCGCGTCTTCGTCGCCCGCGTCGCGTCACACCATCGGCGCCAATCTCCAACTTTTCAGCGCAAAGTTGGGTTGACACCACCTGAGGTGTTCACGACCAACCTGTTCCTCAGATGTAATGGACCTGGATGCGTATTTCAACTGAATGTGTGGTTGCTGTGCTCTTGGAGAGATATTTTCGGTCGACCGGACATGCTCTCGCTGCGAGGGTCCAGAAGGTATTTTCTCATTGCATCTACTAGCCCAGTAGTTGAAGGGAAGAAGTCAAGAAGGAGGGAACAGAGAAGAAGGAAGGAAAAGAAGATGGAGGAAGAAAAAAGGAAAGAGAAGAGAGGCTCCGCGGTTGACAAGTGCCCTGAGACAGTTTCAGCGCCAAACTAGCAGCCAAATAAGAATAAAGCAAAAAAGATCCGCCGGGAATGTGTTTGAAACAGCGCACAGATGGTTCCTGTCATATTTGAAGCGGGAAACAGATGGACTTCAAATGGGAAGATGAAGAGGGTGTGGGAGGTGATTGTCTTGTAATCTTGTTGTGAGGAAACTGCTCAGGGTTCAATTTCTACGATTTGATAGGGAGCTATTGCAGTAGATTCTTTTTTAGATTCTGCGGATTGGCTGTCACTTTTACACAAAGGATGAGTTCATTTGTGCCTGCATTCCTTCCGTAGTAGGCTCAGAATGATGGAAATATTTGCAGGTCGCAAAAATCTTGCGACCTACAATTATTTCTTCGATCAGCGTTAACCGCGAGTGTGGTCCCCTCCCCCAAATACGTTAGCACAAAATTTTGATTTTGACCCAATTTTGGACGTCTCTCTGTCTAACACTGAACAATATGCCCAAGTGTCTTAAACTGAGACATCCAACGAGTAACCCATTCTATGTCTTGTTCAAATGTCACGCCTACTTCGTCTCGGGGGTAAGAAGCGTACATGACGGCTTTGAGGAAATGACGAAACTACCTATAAGATCCATTTGAAAAAAGGGGCTTGCGTGGAGAAATGCAGAAATGCGGGAATGCCGAAATGACGGCTAATGCCGTTTGGACTCCAGAAATTTCGGCTGCGAGCTCATTTTCAAATTGCCTAAGTCACCAAATCCACTAAAAACTTGTATATAGGGGTAATTCAACATCCTGATTACGAGTATGACACTCATTCTTGGCGCTGGCGCCAAGAGAGGACACTACGATTACCTCCTGGGCTCAGCCTTAGCAGAGCGCAGGTAACCGTAGTGTCATCCATTAGCGCCAGCGCCAAAAATGAATGTCATATTCGTGATCAGGATGTTGAATTACCCCTATATACAAGTTTTTAGCGGATTTGGTGATCTTGCCACTTTTAAAATGAGCTCCGAAATTTCTGGAGTCCAAACGGCATTAGCCCGAAATGACGGACAACGACTTGACACGGATTGATGGGTTGGCTCGGCCAGTGAGGAAATGCCGATTCTGCGCGATTTCGGCATTTCTTCACTCCCAGTTCCATGGGTTTTCTAATCGACACATCTATACCTTCTTCTACCGTAGTTTCGTCAGGCATGTTCACAGTCTGCGAATGGCGAAACAGCGGTTCGGCTAAAAGCAATAAATACGTATTGATCGGAGAATCTTAATCCGCTCTGGAGAAACGCCGCCGCGGTTCGGCGCTCGGCGAAAAGCAATAGATGCGTATCGATTTCGCTGGCTCCGCCCTAGAGAAAAACGCCAGGGCGGTCGGGCTAGCGTTTTTCGCCCAACCGCTCCGCCGAACCGCCCGTCGATACGTATCAAAACCGTTTCGCGCAACCGCCAGACTCTTCGCCCAACCGCCAATCGATACGTAGAAGCTTTCCGCCGAAGCTTTCTTTCCAGAGAAACACTGGGACGGAGACTGTGAACAATGCCTCAGGCCTTGTTTGCGATCCTGGCGAGTCGGAGGTTCGGCGAGAAGCAATAAATATGTATCGATCGAAGAATTGTCAACCGCTCTGGGGACGCGCCGCTGCGCTTTGGCGTTTCGGCGAAAAGGGTTACATGTGTATTGATTTCGTTGACGCCCCCCGACAGAAAAACGCCGGAGCGGCCCGCGCTAGCGTTTTCGCCCACGCGAAGCGCTAAACCGCCTGTCGATAGGTATGAAAACCTTTTTGATGAAGCGTTTCTTTCTCGAAAAACGCAGGTTCGCAGGTTGTGAGCATGTCTAACTTCTCCAAATTCGTCATGTATGAACGTGGCCTAAAGCGGATAAACCGGGCCTGGTAGCGCATTCGTTCTTAAAAAGATCTATTGAGAATAATTTCTATCTGTTGGGAGGAGTTGATGATCGTAGGGGCTGTGACTCATAACTTACTTATTCCCAGTTGCCTAGCTGACTCCCTGGCAACTGCCAACATAATTTTATTGGAGGTCGCAAGGGTTAAAGTGTGCGATTTGGTTCTTGATCAGTATTTTATTTGGCACTGCCTTAAGATCAGTGTCGCTTTACCTGAAACAAACGGTTGGCCCGCGAATAATGGCGTTTTCCCTGACTTGAAAATCCCCGTTAAAGAAGAAATATTTCTCTATCGAGTTCCGAATTGTTTTTAGAGGATCTTTCGTTTCATAAGGCAGTGCGCATAATTCTTTGGAAGATTCTATTTCCATACTTTTATATGCTCAAAATGGGGCATAAAACTGACGAAATTAACCTTTTCGACACTCATTCAATTTTACACGTAATTAAAAGCTGGGACGCGAAGACCCATTTGTTAAGTGATGACCAAGAAGGGGTGTCTCCCAGAAATGCACTTAACGACATTAACGATACAAAAATTTCAGTTTCGACCTCATAGACAAACATTACATCTAATGCTTTACTGAGTCCGACAAAGAACCTAATGGAAAAACTTATTCACGGTTATTCAAGCGAAAGAATGAGGAAGTATGTGTCGTGAGAGGTTCTCATTCGCTTCACTTGATAGGAGAGGTTCAAAACTTGGCGGATGGGTTCAGCTGGCAGTCGCTTCCCAAGAGGGCACCCTATCCTATGTACATTTGCAGGGACCGAATTCCCCTTTCTTGATCGCCTGAACCATCTTCTAGTTACCCTAGAAAGCGTCGTTTCTTGTTCATATAAATTACAACTTCCGAACTATTGGGTTGGAACATAAGTAATGGCGTTTTTTTCAATGAAAATTTTGTTTTAAAAGTGAAATGTTTTGCAAGCAAGTTATATATCATCTGATAGGAAACTTCTCGTAGTATAAGAATATCAAAAAAGCTTTGGTTGAGGATATAGTTTTTGTGAATTTTTTAGTCGTTGAAGTTGGAAGTGAAGTCGGCGAAAATTAGCATCTTCGACAACTGCCTCTATTTAGAAATTTCATGCTAATAGTTGAATTAATTGAATTTGAATTTGATATTCTAATACTACGAGAAGTTTGCTATTAAACGATATTAAGCTTGCTTGCAAAACTTTTCACTTTTGAAAATTTTTCAATTGAAAAAAACGGCCATTACTTATTAGCCAGCCCACTAGCAGTTATTAGCCAGCCCACTAGCAGTGGGCTGGCTAATAAGTAATGGCCGTTTTTTTCAATCGAAAAATTTGTTCCAAAAGTAAAACGTTTTGCAAGCAAGCTTAATATCGTTTAATAGCAAACTTCTCGTAGTATTAGAATATCAAATTCAAATTCAATTAATTCAACTATTAGCATGAAATTTCAGGTGGAACAGACGTGAGCCTGCCCAATATTGGCGAGGTGAAGGTTGCCAACTTTGAAATTCTTGAAATTAGTTCCAAAGCGTCCTATTGAGATTCCCTTGCTGAGACTTCTAGCTCAACCTTTTCCAAATGTATGGAGCAGCTTAAGCGATTTTAGCACTTCGAGTAGACGTAAATAGAGGCAGTTGTCGAAGGTGCTAATTTTCGCCGACTTCACTTTCAACTTCAACGACTAAAAAATTCACAAAAACTATTCCCTCAACCGAAGCTGTTTTGATATTCTTATACTACGAGAAGTTTCCTATCAGATGATATCAAGCTTGCTTGCAAAACATTTCACTTTTAAAACAAAATTTTCAGTTGAAAAAAAACGCCATTACTTATGTGCCAACCCAATACTTCTGCAATTCAAGAACCTAGATTAAGCGTTAGCGGTCTCGAAATCCCTCATTCGAGTCGACCGGACACTCCATTTTGATAAACTAAAAACGGGCAAAAGTCAAGGATGAATAAAAACCAGGTAGACTATTTTGTAGAGCAGAAATTTATTTGTCCAGTAGCATGAGAAACATATAGAGAGCTTCCACTTTTCACAGAAAATCATATGTAAGAATAAAAAACTTTTACTGTGGGCCAACGCAATACTTGGGTTGCCCCATATGAGCAGCTACTACGTCCTTTCACGAAGGGAAGTTCACGCTCCGCAGAAGCAAGGAAAACTTGCGAAGAACCTCCTAAACAGGGACTTCTTCGGCAGTCTGCAAGAGTTTTCCGGTTTTGCTGGTTTCATGCCAGCAATTCGACACCCGTCCCCGTAGCACAAAAATGGTTTCTTCGCATCATCCAGTGCTATGTCACCTAATGCTTAAAATGCAAAAATAGCATAGGAACGAAACGCATAGTATAAGCCCCCTTAACAGAACGCACAACGTTACTAATACTTATCATTTATAGAGCTTGAAATGGCGCGAGTTTCATTTGGTAGGCCAAACACGGTTCATTGTAATGACGACATTTCCTATTACAATCGCCTGCCTGCTAAAAATCGCTGTTACACTATACTCGTGGATAACGCCTTTGAGGCAGCGTTCAGACCCCGCGACGGCAGCGCTTCGGTCGCGCGTTCGACGCGATCGATGC